CAAGGGCTGGAGCTCTCACCCGAAACCCTAAGCCCTAAGCCCTAAACCCTAAACCCCTAAGCCCTAAACCCTAAGCCCTAAACCCTAAGCCCTAAACCCTAAGCCAAAAACCCTCAAGCCCTAAACCCTCCAACCCCTAAGCCGTAAGCCCTAAACCCTAAAACCTAAGCCCTAAAAGCCCCAAAAGCCCTAAAGGCCCTAAACCCTAAAACCTAAGCCTAAAAGCCCTCGAAGGCCCTCGACTTCCCCTGCGCTTCTAAGCTGTGGGGCCGGTCTCCCGGAAGTCGGCCTTGCGGGCCTAGGCCTAGGCACCGTTGTGGTTGCTTTTCTTTTGGGGTTTAGGGTTCCTAAAACGAATCTACAAGGGTTTCGGGTGTAGAGTTCCTTTAAAGGGTTCCTTAAACGAATCTACAGGGTTCCTTGAAAGGTTCCTGATAAGGATGTCTAGGGTTCCTTTCGAGGGTCCCTTCAAGGGCCCTAAACCCTAAACCCTAAACCCTAAACCCTAAAGCGTTCCTTAAAGGGGTCTAGGCTTTAGGGTCTAGGGGTTCCCAAACCCTACCTATAGTCTCCATTGTAGTTCCTTTCTGGTTTAACCATATGAATAAATAAATAAATAAATAAATATATATATATATATATATACACATACACATATTAAGGATCTTACAAGGTATCCCCAAAAAGGAACTACAATGGAGACTACAGGTAAACCCTATAAACCCTAAATCCTGCCACGGTCTTTTGGTTTCTTTGGAGGCTCCTGGAGTTTGGGGAGTAGGCTCTGAAATTTGGGATTCAGGGGATTAGGGTTTGGGGATTAGGGGTTTAGGGTTCCAGGGTTTAAGGGTTTCAGGGCTTAGGGTTTAGAGTTTACGCGTTTAGGGTTGGGGGTTTGGGGTTTCAGGGTTTAGGGTTTAGAGTTTAGGGTGTCAGGGTTTGGGGCTTAGGGTGTGTATACAGTGTGCGCGCGGTGGGTGCGCCTTCTGCTTGAGGAAAAAGGGCGCGCCCACTTATCGCGAGCTTGCGTCAGCATGTAGTCCCGCTCCAACAACCCCAACTATTCTCAATTAGAGTTTAAGGCTCACTCCTCGAAACCCCCCTCAAAGGTGGCTTTCTTGCTCTCTGCCTCCCTTCGCAGTTTCCGGGCTGGAGAATTGTGCTTTTAGCGGCGGAGGGTTGGGGTCCGTGGAATCTGCCAGCCCGCGGCTCCGGCCCCCCCCCACGCACCCCCCCACCCTCAGTGTTTTTGTTTGGGGCCCCAGACAAATGGTGGTGGGTTTGGGGTCCGAAGTAAAGAAGAGCAATCCCAGGCGGCGGCTTGCTGATCATCTCGTTTCGAAAGAGAGGCTGTTTGTTAGGATTTAGGGGTTTAGGGTTTAGGGTTTAGGGTCGCACAGAAGTGGGGTATATTACAGCACCATTTTCAGTATACTGGCACATGGACTATAAGGGGATACAGAGAGTGGTCTTCTTGGAAGCTTCGAAGAGTGCTCACTTCTTGGACACCGTATTGTATCCCCGTGGAAGCACAACTAGAACAGCTGTCTGTATTTGTACTACTATCGAAATATAAACATCCTACACCATAACATCTATAAGTCCTACACCCTTCAGCTCACTTCAAACCTGAACCCTACGACGAACGCCCTTAACTTTGCAGGACATTGCTACTGTAGGGGCCTTAATAATTAGAACAGGGTTTTGGGGCCCGTTGTACTATATTTACAATAAGGAACCCCCCGAACATAATATTGGAAAATATTTAGGCTCGTAAACCCTAACCTCTAAACCCTAAACCCCTAAATCCTAAACCCCTATACCCTAAACCCTAAACCCGATAGCTACGGGGATCGAAGCGGATCCGATGTCTTCGGCTGCCTACATGTGCCTTTCTTGGGGCCTCGAAAGGCAATTTGGGGGGGCCTTGGGTGGGTGGGGCAAGGCTTTGAGATATTTCGCTGTGACTGGTTTAGGGTTTAGGGTTTAGGTTTTAGGTTTTTTTTTTTAAGCACCTCCACACCAAGGCTTATCTCACCCGCATATCCTGACTCCTTCGTCGAGGCAAGAAGAGACGCCTTTCCATTCATAGGCTTCTTGACCCGATAGGAAGCCAGGGCACATTCAATCCTTTGATTCTCCTTCTTAGGCTTAGCTGCTGGTGGTATCTTGCCCCCAACTGCTCGTATGCCAGCGGCCATGACATCATTCATCGCCTTTCTCATCTCACTGCACCAATTGGCAAAATGCTCAGCCAAGTTCTCATCTTTGCCCTCCTCCCACAACGAAGTGATATCATGATAGGCAAAAGGGCTCATATGGTGCTTGACATAGTCGGCGTTCGCCTTCGTCCTTACCTCCTTAGTAAGTTGCGTGGACGATTTCAATCTAGCAACCCTCGATGCGGCAGTCAAGGCATGAGACTTCGAAACGTCTTGTTCATCAATGGCTCGAATCCTCATAAGTACGACTCTCTTGATCTTGGGTTACCAGTAGATAGAAAAGTATGAAGATACCGCGACTGATCGTATTCATCGTCATACCTATCGTCCAATGCAATTGATGCGAAGATGAACATCGCATCTTTCCAAACCTCTGAATACGGGCCATCGTATCCAAGTGCAATGTCCAAAGACCAATGTGACCCAATAGAATTCTCCAAAAACCCACCGTAGACCATGGAGTGGGTTTCAAAGACAAGAGTCACTTGCTTTCCTTTGTAACCTGAAACATCAGACTCTGACAAATCATCTTGAAATATTCGCCAGTATCCGGGATGCCTCAAGCCTGGCCTTCCATTCGCCCACAAAAGCGGATCAACATGGCTCAAAAGGCGAATCGCATCTGGCCCTGCATACAGAACGTCATCATACCGGAAAAGGAGAACCGGAATACCAGATTTCATCCTGAACGCCTCTTCAACAGGTGCATCCCCTGTAGGGACTCTTGATATGGAAAGCTCCCTCCACCTGTTTGGCGAATACGATTGCTCTGGCAGCTCGTACTTCTGTTGCAAAATATCGAACGCAACGCAACGAGCCGCTGGTCCAAACATGACAGCAAACTTATCAACAGGTATGCCTGCAACTCTCCCGTCTTTATGGGGTATAGTCCCAGAATTTCTCCCCTTTTTGTGGAAGTCCCGGGGGACCCCACCAGACACAACTGCCTTGACTGGGAACCCACCAATTAGGAAGGTACGCTTCTCTCCTTCCTGATGGCAGAATACGTGAGCAGGCGGACCTTCGACAGTCATCATGAACGTCCCATCCACCTTCAAATACCCGTGCACAACTCCTACATACTTTCCGATTGTTGGCGCCATAGGTGAGCCATCATCACTTCCATCATCACTCCCAACAAACGGCTGGTCAAAATCCGTATATGGGATGTTCTCACCAAACAAGACCTTCTCAGGCTCTCTCCCACGACCCTTCCCTTTGCCCTTTCCGCCCATACCGATGTCCAAGGCTCAATGCCACCTGTGCCCAGCACAGAGCGGTGGGTGCCCAAAGGCAACCCGCCAGTGGTAGCAAGGAACAAGGGTCACACTCCGAAGCACCTGCCCAATCCAAAGGAATAGGCGGGTGCCCGAAAGCAACCCACAAATGGCCAACGGTAACTGGCCGAATGCAGCAAGAGACACAAACCACCCCTCAGGGCGAGGGGATAATTTCAGCCAACTAGACGGGGTCTTGCCCCAGGGTAGCCTCCGTGAGGGGTGTTGGCCGGATGACCAGCAACCTCGCTTGGGCGACTTGAGCCAAAATGGCTACGGTTTTAGGGTTTAGGGTTTAGGGTTTAGGTTTTAGGGTTTAGGGTTTAGGGTTCAGGGTTTAGGGGACTGTAACCATACAGGGTTTAGGGTTTAGGGATAAACGATGACTATATATATATATATAGGGACGGATACAGCTAGACAGTAATTACATATTCGACCCCGGTATTAGCAGGTAACACCAGTACAAACTCGCAAAACCATCCTTCTAAGCCTAAACCCTAGAAACATCTAAAACTCCGAAAACAACGTCATAAGCCCACCAGCCCCCTTCAATAGGGCCCCAAGAAAGCACGTAAGCAAAAACTTGGATAGGGATATCCCATATAAACTCCCTTGTAATGAAGCCCAATAAGGTAGGGATATCCCGAGAACATGCTTACGCTTATGTCCTTTTTGGGTCCCTAGTTCAATGAACACCGTTGGGTGCCTAAGCCCGAAACCCTAAACCCTAAAGCCTAAACCCTAAACGGCCCTAAACCCCAAAACCCTAAACCCTAAAACCCTAAACCCTAAAACCCTCAACCCTAAGCCCTGAAGGTGCCTGTTCGCGCGCAGGTGCTGAAGCGACGGCGGTCTTCGCAGGGAACCTGAGCTTCGTTTATCAGAGCGGCGCCTGAAAGCATCCCCAAAAGGTGGCCCCACGGTTCGGGGTTTAGGCTTTAGGCTTTAGGGGTTTTAGGGGCTTTAGGGGTTTTAGGGGCTTTAGGGGTTTAGGGGTTTAGGATTTGGGGTTTAGGGTTAACAATGGGCATAGGGTCTTGGGGGTTCCTTACCCCACGGGTTGGGGTTTAGGAATGGGGTTTTTCGGGGTTCCTGATTATATGTATAGTACGGTTTAGGGTTTAGGGTTTAGGGTTTAGGGTTAATAGTACACTATACCACCCAACCCGGTTCTAATTATTAGGGCCCCTATGTTACACTGACCACTCGGCAACACCCCAATGTAAATTCCATTTTGCATTTATCTTTATGGGAGTTCCCGAAGATAACCGACCCAGATAAAGTGAGAACCTTAGTAGCACTCTAAATAAGGTATCTCATCCTGAAATGCTGACTCAGGGGCGAGAGCAGGGGTAAACCACCCTGGCTTCTCACCGTCCTGTGCGCCAGGCCGTGCAGAACGAGTTCGCGTCAAGTAGGGCTGAGCAAACATTTTGTCGATAACAACCCCTTTCTTTACATCACTTAACACAACACAATACAGTAAGATATACCACAATATAGGGGCCTTAATAATTGAAGTAGGGTTTTGGGTTCCTTTATACCCAAAATATAATAAGAACCCCCCCCCCTCCCCCCCCCAAAAAAAAAACAATAACACACACACACACAAAATAGTAGTGGTAATTTTTTAAGGACCCTATACTACCAGAACATCATATGAGAGAGAACTAAAAAGTGGACAAGGTTTCCTAAGGGCGAGCCCAGAAGGTCGAACTCAGGGTCGACCTGAGACGTCAGGGACATGGGGTTTACGGTTTTCGGGGTTTTAGGGGCGGGTTTAGGAGTTTAGGGTTTAGGGT